AAGTTGTGGGGGCTCCATCACTGGAGGTTTTGGAGAGCCATTTCTCCAGAGTAGTATAGGTCATCCTACTTGATCAGGGAATTGGACTAGAAAACCTACAAAGTCCCTTCAAATTCTATTATTCTGGTATTTTGTTGTTTTTTTCAGCTCTCGTAATAATTTCTTCAGCATCCTCTTCCAGATCATGATTTACACAAGTTCCTGTTATTATTTAAGCAGGCAATTAGTTATTGTTGGCAGAAACACTCCATATATTAGTCACTGTAAGTCAATTACCATTGGCTGAGTCTCTCAACACGATTAATCAAAGTGTTGTAATCATAAGTAGGGCTTAGCGAGCCATTGATAATACACAAAGACTATTTTTTGTTGGAAAAAGCCCCAGCGGAGCCTTTTCTTGCAACTGAATCCATGTGTTTTGCAGTCCCTTCATGTGCTGAAGAATCACTTTTGTATATTTAACTGTAGGTGCTATGTCCTTCGCTTCTGATAATAAAATTGCCCTTTTTAATGCAATGGAAGGGAGAAAATATTAGATATGTGGCTGAGCTGAGCACACTCAATCAAAGCGATCCAGCTGTGTGGTTTCACTTTGCTTTATTTTGGAGGAGCTTAAGAGGAGAAGGTGGAGGTGGTAGAGGAGGAGGAAGAGGAGGGGAGGAGAAAGGAGAGGAGTTGGAAAAGGAGAAAGAGGAGGAGGCACTGGAGGAGGAGGGGGAGGAGAAGAAAGAGGAGGAGGGGGAGGAAAGGAAGAAGAGGAGCAGGAGGAGGAAGAGGAGGGGGAGGAGAGAAAGAGGAGGTGGAAGAGGAGAAGAGAGAGGAGGAGGAGATTATTCTATGTCAGTATCAAAGGTTGTTTCAGTGCTTCTAATTAGAAGCTAATTTCCAATTAAATCTTGGTGAAGTAATGGAATAACTAGACATGAGAAGTATAGGTAGTCCTTGATTTACGATCACAGTTGAACCCCAAATTTCCATTGCTGAGACAATTCTGAGTTTTGCTCCATTTTATGGCCTTGTCACAGTTCTTAAGTGAATCACTGCAATGCTTTAGTAACACAGTTGTTAAGCGAATCTGGCTTCCTCATTGATTTTGCTTGTCAGAAGGTCACAAAAGATAATCACATGACCATGGGACACTGCAATTATCATCAATACATGCCAGTTGCCAAGCATCACATGATTTTTAAATAAAAAGTTTTATTTCAGTTTTCCACATTTTAAAAACATCTTTTTTAGCGAACAGCATGATTCCAGGTTTTCATATTTCCATACAAACATGACTTTGTTTACATATTCATATCTCATATTTAATTTCATATCTTACCATTACTTTACATATTTTCTATTATTTTCTGAAATCTTTCCTCAAGCTTATTTTATTAATTTTCAATTCATTTCTTAACCTATTTCTTTTAACTTTAAATAATTCTCATATCTCCATATTCATTATACTTTGCACTTTTATCTGTCAGGTTTGTAATTTCATTGCAAATTCTTAATTTGTCATTTCAAAAATTTCATCTCCATTCAAACATTTCCCAAAAAAAGTTTCCCCCACAATTACCAATTATAGTGTGCCACTATACTGCCACTATATATCATTTAATTAGTTCCCCTTTAAATCCCAGTGACAATTTAACTTTTTAATTATCACCTTAAAAATTAATAACAATAATCTCCTAGCAACTGCATAACTTATATACCTTTTAAGTCAGATTCCGCATGATACTTTCCCCTTCAGTTACATCAAAAAACATTTGTAATTTCAAAAAGAAAAATTAATCTATTCAATTGATCATAAAAACTGATATTAATCTCATTACAACAATCCTCATAATTCATTTCAACTATATTCTATAAATTCATTATAGTTAATAAACTTATCATGATTTTTTCACATTTGTTTCATTTATCTCTGTATAGTTTAACAAAAGACAACTATTCCAAAAACAAAACAATATCAGTTCCAATCTTTCATTTTAATAATCTATATTTTCCTACTTTCTAAATAATTTGTTACTTCTAATACATTTATACTACACCTCATCACCTTGCAGAATCACCTTCCTTAACTCTTAATTGACCATTGTCTCTATGTCTTTTAAATAAACAATTTCTTTTCATTTTTATTCGATTTCCATATTTCTTTATTTCCTGGTTCTGTTTCTTATTACTTCTTTTTCCCTTCATTTTTTCCCTCCTTTTTTTTCCATTTTCTGTTGTTTCCTTTTAGTTTGTTTGGTTTTCAATATATTCCCCTTTTTAATTACCTCCTCAAATTTCCAGTTTTTAATTCCCATTCTTTTCCCCCTTCGCTTTAATATTCGTTGCTCCAATTGTTCATTAAAGATGGCCTCTTCTTTAATCAACTCCTCCTCTTCTGGCACTCCTTGTTGTTCTTCATACTCTAGGATTGCCATTTCTAAAAATTGTAGAGCAAATCCAAATGATTTGACTTTTTCTTATAGAATTTATTTCATATTTCTTAGTTCCATTTTTAATTCCAAAAGTTCTGCCATTTTTAAACACTTCTGTCCAGTTATTTGATTCAGCCAATGTCTATAGAGTTTATTTCTAACAATCAGCTTCCTCTTTAAGTTTTCCCAGATTCATCAAATAGCCCAACATCCATAAACTTAAGTTTATACCAAAATCACCAAATAATCCCAACATAGTGTCTTCCTGTTTCTTTCTTTGTTTTAATGTTCAGTATTCCACTTTCACTTTCCAGAGTCTCTATTTTATTGTAACAAAGTTTCACTTACTCTGTATCAAATCCAACCTTTAAAAGAGCCAGGTTATAAAGAGTCGCAAATAATTTATTTTACCACTAGATGGCACTAGATGACCAAATTCCCACCCACCCCCACCTACTCCCACTTTTTCTCTCTATTTAGGGCTTTTAAAATTCAAAGTTCCAATAAGTCCAAATATCAACAACTGTTTTTTTTTTGTTTTTTTCTTTGATATGTTCAAATTCAGCTTTAGTTATGCCTATTTAGTGTCAAGATCATATATTTATCCAGTTTAAACAGATATCTTCTTCTGGTTTCCTCCTTTCAAAGTTGAAAGCCATTTTCAGCTATCAAAAAATTTTCTTCACTTTCTTTGTCCGCTGCTTTACTTATCTCTCTTAAAAATTCCTTAAAATTTTAATTCCGGGGTACCTTGTGTTTAAATGTTGTGCCTGATTTGCCTGGTTTTCATACTGTCTTCTTCACCACTCCTGCACAATCTTGTCCCAGTTAGCTCTTCCTCTTCAGGGTGGCCATATTTGACCATCATTACAGCCGTCTTCGAAGGGGAGTATGCCTAGCCAAGGAGGGGAAATGCAGCTCCCCTCGACCCAGCTGGCAGTCTCCCCTTTCTTCACCACCCCTACACGTTGGTTCTGGCCTCAAATGCAGGTGATCTGGGCCCTGCGATGGGAGAGCACGTATTGAAGCGCGGACGATCGCGGTCTCTGGTTCATCAGCAAGGAAGACCAGCATCACATGACCACAGGGATGCTGAAAAGATGGTAAATGTTCAAAATGATCATCAGTCACTTCTTTCAATATTGTAATTTCAAATGATCACTAAATGAGTGATTTTAAGTCAAGGACTACCTATAGATTGCATATTTATTTATTTGTTTGTTTGTTTGTCAAACATATACAGGATAACAAGTATGAACATAAACCAGAACAAAGGGAGTAAATACAGATAAATGGGGACAGTAAGACAGGGACAGTAGGCACGCTAGTGGACTTATGCACGTTCCCTTTAAGGACCTCTTAGGAATGGGGTGAGGTCCACGGTGGACCATTTGAGGGGTTGAGGGGTTATGAAGCTATGAGGGGTTGAGGCTGGAACAACAGAGTCGGGTAAGGCATTCCAGGCATTGACTATTCTGCTGCTGAAGTTGTATTTTCTGAAGTTGAGTTTGGAGCGGTTTACCTTGAGTTTGTATCGGTTGTTTTCCTGTGTATTTTTGTAATTGAAGCTGAAGAAGTTGTTGACAGGTAAGATGTTGTAAAAAAAACAATTTTGTGAACTATGCGTAGATTGGACCACAGTCGGTACAGTTCTAGATTTTCCAGGCCCCAAATTTCGAGCCTGGAGACGTAGTGAATTTTATTGTGAGTGGAGGAGTGGAGAACTTTTCTTGAGAAATACCTCTGAACCGGCTCAATTGTTTTAATGGCTGTGCTAAATCTGGCAACCATTTTGTGCAAATCCTCACCACACACACTCCACATGTTTAATGTGCCAAGAATCTCTGTTTGTCTAACCATTTCACCAGGAAACAAATCCAGCCCATCTCATATTAATCTGCTGGTGTGAACTAATGATGATGTGATGATGTTAATGATGAATGATGATGTTAATGTGCTCAGGAAATCAACTGAAGAGTCTCCTATGATCTGATTGTGAAAATAATGTGCTTTTGGTGTGAAAGCAAGTCTGTATTTCCTTGCAGCATTGCCTCTTCCATGTGTAGAGTGAGGGAGAGGTTAGTTGCAGGCAAATCTCTTGTCCAGAAAAAAAAGTAGGAAGATGGAAAGTAGAATACAGGTAATCCATCCTCAACTTAACAGTTCATTTAATGCCTGTTCAAGGTTACAGAATTACATGACCATTTTTCATAATTGTGACTATTGCAGCATCTTCCCCAGGGCCACCTGGTTTACCTTCAAATGCTTGACAACTGACTCACATTTAGGATTGCACTCTCCCAGGGTGATGTGATCCCCATTGGCAACCTTCTGACAAGCCAAGTCAATGAGAAAACCAATTTCACTTAACAACTGTATTACTAATTTAACAACAGCTGTGATGCATTTAACAAACATGATGAGAAAAGTCATAAAATGGGGCAAAACTCATTTAACAAATGTTTTACTCAGCAATATAAATTTTGGGCTCAATTGTGATCATAGGTTGAGGACTACTTGCAATGGTTTTATAAACACCTGGCTTCTCCAAAAATGCTAATCGATAATGTACTTTTTCAGAAACCAGCCCTTATATAATTATTAAGTGTGAGAACAGTAAGGTTCGGTCTCCCTCTCAGAAAGACGGTGGGGCTGCTGTTTTCAACACCCAGGCGGTTTTCTACAAAAGGAAGGTTGACAGCCCCATTATTGTCCAGGTAAGAGAATCCATGTGATCTGTATTTGCACCACTTTTATGTTTAAATGAATGTTGCGGACGCATTGTATCATAGGTGCAGACACACAAACGTGCACATGCATGCACACACGTGCACTTTTGGCACGCAGTGTGGAAAAGGTTAACCATCACTGGCCTATATGTTGCATTCTCACCAGAAAATCTCTCCAAACTGCTGACATCCAGAAAGAGCACAGGTAGTCTTCAACTTAGAACAGTTCTTTTAGTAACCGTGCAAAGTTACAACAATGCTGGGAAAAATGACTTTGGGCTGTTATTCACACTTATGACCGTTTGTAGCATCCCCATGATCACGTGATCAAAATTCCAATGCTTGGCAACTGACTCATATTTATGACAGTCGCAGTGTCCCGGGGTCATTGGTCTTCTTTTGTGATCTTCTGACAAACAAAGTCATGGGGGAAATCAGATTCACTAAAGAACCATGATACCTAATTAATCATGTAAGTTTCACTTAGCAACAGAAATTTTCGGCTCAATCATAGTCGTAAATTGAGGACTACCTATACAGAAACCCTAAAGCTTTTCCTTAGGATAATGCAGGTAGTCCTCGATTTACAACCACAATTGAGCCCAACCTTTTGGTTGCTAAGCAAGGCAGTTGTTAAGTGAATTGTGCGTCATTTTGTGACCTTTTTTGCCACAGTTGTTAGGCCAATCACTGCAGCTGTTAAGTGAATTGTGCAGTCATTAATCAACCTTGTTTGTCCAAAGCTAGCTGGGAAGGTTACAAATGATGATCTCATCTGGGACAGTGCACCTGTCCTAAATACATACCTGTTGCCAAGCACCCAAATTTTGATCTTGCAATTATGGCGATGCTGCAGCAGTCATAAGTCTGAGAAACAGTCATGCCACTTTTTTCAGTGCTGTTGTAATTTAGAATGGTCACTGAGTGAATGGTTGTAAATCAAGGACTGCCTTAAATTGCTAGCTTACAATATGATTATTAAAAAGTAGAGCAGGGGTCAGCAAGACTCCACAAACTCAGTCTCAGCCCCTAGTAAGTTCCTGGACATATCCATACAATTGTGTTGGTATGATCCAGAACGGGTGTGCCATTTCTTTTTTTTCTTTTTTTAAACAAATTTTATTAATTTAAAAAAAAACAATACATAAACAAACTAAACATAGAATGTAATAACATAAAGCATCTTTTCTGAAAAAAAACCAATAAAACATCTTATTTAAAGACAGAATAATTCCAAGTTATCACATTTCCATACAAACACAATTTAATATTATATATTTATCTTATCTATTCAACTTCATATCTTATCCCAACTTCTCTTTATTTCTCCCTTACGTTCTACTATTCAATTATATTTCTTTTGCCTTAGATTATATATATTCTTTATATCCATCTGTCTTTTTTACAATTTCATGACTTCCATTGGGATTCTGTTTGGTACATTCTAGAATTACACACTATATTTTAAAAAAGGAAAAAATTATAAATAAATAATATAATTTAAACAACAATCCATACTAATTCTATTCTATCATTAGTATTAATATTCATTTAAATCTTAATGTTTTACCCATTACTTTTCAGATACGTATCATACTTCTATGAGAACACTTATACACTTTCCATAGTTAATTCCTCCCCACTTCACTTATATTTTATAAAACATTGGATAATTAAAATGTTCCCATTCCTTCCTGATTCAATTCTCTCATTTATTACATTTCATTTATTCCATTCACAATTTTATTCTCTAAAATTACTCAATGTTTTTTATTTAAAAAAAGAAAAAAAAGGAAATTATAGGTATTTGATGTAGTTAAAACAGCTATTAATGCCAATACAGATCTAATCATTAATATTAATATTCATTTATATCTTAAACACTTTACACGTTACTTTCCAATTAAATATCATATTTTTATAGGAACACATACTTTCCATAATTGTTTCCCCCCCCACATCTCATATTTTAAATCATTATTTCATCATTATTTCATTACCTTCTTTTTCCTCACAAAAATTTCACTAGATTACGCTAAATCTTTTGTCCCATTTTTGATTACATGTTGTTTCCAATTTTCTGACATTATTTCTAAGTACAAATATAAAAATACAATCTAGTGTACCTTTACAGAATCCCTTTTTCAATTAAATTTACCCATTGTCTCTAAAAGAATTTTGTTTCTTTACATCTTGCTCCCCACCATTGAGGCTTCTCATCCCTTCCTTTCTCCCTTGCCCTTTTTACCCCCTTGTCTCTCCACCTCCCTTTTCTTCTTCTGCTTTCCCCCTTTCTATTGATTTCTAACATTGTATCCATTTTCCCCTTATTTTTTCTCTTTTTGGGTTGTTTTTTCAAATCTCAAAGTCCCCTTTTTCTTTTCCTCTTTCTCCTTTCCTTCCCCAAATAGAGTCACTTGATCATCAAAGATGGCTTCTTCTTTATCCCAATCATCCTGTTGCACAGTCAGTTTTTTCAAACCGCCATTTCCAAGAATTGAAAAAGAGTGCCAAGAGAATCTTTCCCTTCTTGTTCTTTTTTATATTTTTGGTATTCAATTTTCAATTCATCCAGAAGTAATGCCATTGTAGAGAGAAAAAGTTTTTCCAAAACAACCACCCAAGTGCTTTTAATCAAAGGTAGTTCCCAAATATTCCAAGATCACCAAAGAGTCCAAATAAGCTGTTTCTTTTAGTACTTTCTTCTTTCTTCCCTTTCTCTTTCTGGGGTTACTGTTTAGTCACAAAGTTCCAGTTAAAATATATCTTTTAGAAGTCTTATTAATATTTAATAACTCTTTGAAGTTCTAGGCAATCTCCTCCTTACTTTCAAATTCTGCTCCAGTTTTTTTTCCTCTCCCTTCCCACCTACAGCAAAAAAGATTTTTTTTGAGTATTCAGAAATCCTTATCCCTTTAGCATTTAATTACCTCCAATGCGGGTTTTCCGATTTCTCTTTCTCTTACGGTTCTGTTCGCTGTCACGTCAGGAAGAAGAGTGAAAAAAAAGAAAAAGACTTTCCCTTTTAAATTTCCATTCACCGCTTATAAGTCTCTAGAGACGATATATCTTGGGCAACTTTTAAAATCCAGGATAGTTTCGCTGTACTTTCCCCGGTCAGCAAAGAGCACTTTCACTTCTTCACAACTCCTCCTCACTTTCTTTTTCCGGCTGAGCACTTCTATGTGGCGGCCATTACTGACCACCGCTCAGCTGCCTTCGGAAAAGGGGGTTTTGCTGGCTAGGGAAGAGAGGTGTGATATCTCTCGACCCTGCCATTTCCCCCCTCTCTTTGCCACCTTCTACGGAGGTGGCTAACACTGAAGCCGGGTGGCTCAGGGCACGCGGGCAACGAACACAGGCAGAAACCACACACAATCGCGGATTCCTGCCTTCCCCGGAGCACTGCAGACCGGAAGCTCCTGAACTGGTGTGCCATTTCTTGCAGGGTCTTGTTCTGGCTTTCAGATCTTATCTCCCATCCCTACACCAATCTCATCTACAAGATGCAAATGATTATCATGATTACATTACAGCTAAATAAAACCAATTACACTGTTAAGAAAACAGTTTTCCCCCCAGGGAATTTGGCCAAAAGGATGTGCAACAGAGAGTAAGCTCTGAGCAAAGTTTGAAGTTCTGATCTCTTCTGGATGAGGACTTTTGCATTGGAAAGACCATGTGTAAAGGCAATGGTAGATTTTTCTTTGCCTTCTCTTCACTTTAGGTCTGGCACAATGCTTTCATTGACCGATTCCTGGGAGAGGTCCGACTGTCTGGGTCACCCAGTGACCCTCAGGATCTTCAGAAGTACCAACTCCATGGCAGAGGCCAGCAAGAAGCAGAAGAAGTACCAGGTCAAATCACTATCAAGACACTTTCCAGCGATGACCTGATGGAGCTATGAGTTGCAGTCTGATAGGCTCCAAGAGGGAGTTATGTTTTGCACACCTGTGTATGTTACTGTTAGAATCCCTTCTTTGGTCTGTAATCTCTGGGTTGCAAATGGACAGTACAAAAATTTATAAAGAGACACAGGTGGGACTGGATTGTTACCAATGGGATGACCTCCTCTTTCTTCCCTCTCTTCAGATGCCATTTATTTTCCAAATTGTAATCTCATAACCATTGGGTGAACCATTGCTATAACTTTTCAGGCTTTTGGTTAAAAAATAGGAACATGTCACAGAGCTAACCAGGTTAAGTTCCAAACTTAACTGCTGAATAGCTTCATACCAGTTTTCTCAGTGGAAGTGGATCATTGTTTGGGTCAGCTGAGTTACTTTTGAGGTGAAATATCAACTTTGTCCCAAATCCTACTAGAACTGCTAGGAAGAGTCCATTCTTTTTTCTTCAGAATCAATGCAGCCACTGAATAAGAGATGCTGCATTTGACGTGTGGGATGACACATCCCATGATGGGAGGCTTAATGTTGCAGAATGGCCAAATAGGCGCTTTGAGTACTTTGTCTTCACACAGCTCTATCTTATGCTTGAGCCAAATAATAATAATAATAATAACAACAACAACAACAATAACAACAGTAGTGGTAGTAGTACATAAACGGAAAACTGTTCTCCAGCAGTTGCCTTTTCTTTCTTTTTGATGAAAGGGGAGTCCTCAACTTACAACACTAGTTCGGAGCAACACATTCATTGTCAAATGGTGCACTCATTAAGTGAAGGGCCACACCCAGTCTCGTGATATTTTTGCCACAGTTGCAAAGCAAAACATTGCATGATTGCAATTTGCAACCTTCCCTGCTAACTTCCTCATTGACTTTGCTTGTTAGAAGCCAGCTGGGAAGGTTGCCAATGGTGATCATGTGACCCCCACATGGATGCTACAGCCATCCTAAAGTGCACAACAGTTGCCAAGGTGCCTACATCACAATCACTGTGATGGTCATAAATGCAAGGACCGGTCCTAAATCACTTTTTTTCAGCACTGTTGTAACTTTGAATGCCGTTAAACGAATCATTATAAGTCAAAGACTACCTTCGTATGTTGGTTCCTTGGACCTACTCTGGCATAGGTTCTGACAGTGGGAATAGCCTCAAGCAGAGAATCACCCCAAACATTCCTGCTGATGGGACGAGAGGCAGAGAGAGAGATCAGTGCTGTTTTGGGTGGGTGGGGGAGTGTCCCAAAGAAGCCTTGTCTCCTCACAATCTAGAAGATCCTTCAACATCTGGGGTATATTTTCAGGGAGATCCAGAAAATGATGTGGGAAGAGGGAAAGGACCTGTCAGACCTGCCACAATTTAAGCTTCTCAATAGAAACGATCCTTGGCTCCATTTGTTGAGAAAAGAATAGTTTATTAGCGGTCAAATGTATTGGAGTAATGCATAGCCAGAACAGAGAGAATCACTCACCAAAATCCCTAAGTTCAACTTTTCCCTCCCTTAGCTGTATTTCACTGCCAACCCCCATGTAACCAATCAGGTTCAGGTATTTTCATAACAGTCAATCGAAGCATCATTTAGTATGCAGTTCCCTCTTTCTTCCAGCTGGGTGACCTTGAGGCAGTCTCTCAAGGAGATACAGCACTTCTTTTCATTTCCCCAAGCATTCCACTCCCTTCATTCCCCCTCCCCACAGTTTATGGCAGTCTGTCACCACATAGCAATGAAGCACAAGCAAGTATAAAGTGGCAGTTGATAGGACCCAAGCATATCTAAGGGGAGAATTCCCCTGCTCCATTCAGAGTCTGCACTTAATGAAAGGTGTCCTCTTATTGCTACAGTGTTATGGTGGATTCAAGCCAATGCACAGAAAATAATACCTGTACTTCGCACTTTTCTTTTTTTTTCGCACTGTCAGAGCAAGTCTTTATATGGAATGTATACAATATATTTAAACACATATAGTATATTTTAACAAACATATTAACTATCTAGAGTAACATATTCTGCTATTAGCATCCTCTAGGTGAATTATAACAATCAGCATTTATGTTGCACTTTTTATAAGCACAAAGCACATATATTATTCAAAAATATATGTAACATATAACAAATGTATGTATCTTTGTATTATTTATGCCCGTACTGCAGATGGAAGAAAGGGAAAACTGAGATTACCTGCTAAGGAAGTACTATTTGTTTTTAAACAGACGCATAGTAAAATCTTGAAACAATCCAGTGCTCATCCCTTCCTATGTTCTTGATGGGGGCATTTTGGCCTAGATTTTAACTAGCAGGGCATCTGTTCAAAGGACGCTGTGATAGGATTCCAAATTTTGTTACAATTTTTGTTGGTATTTGCCTCCTTCAGAGCTCCCCTTGCATGATTTCACTGGGAGTATTTAAGAGTATTAAATACTCCTCCCAGCATGTGTCTTGTTTGATTAAGCTGTCAACATACTTGGAATGTTTTGAAATACAGTGTAAAACTTCTCTTGAGTTGATTCTCCTGGGGTCTTGTTACACAGAAATGATTTTTAATTTTCTGATGCAAAAAGTGTCTCTCTAACTAAAACAAAAAGTGTCAAGTGCAGGAAATCAGGAGCCTAGGTGGTTCAACTGAATAAAAGTCTATTATAAACTAACACTCTACAAGAATCTGAAATACTAGTGGCCAAATTAAATTGGTGGTAGATAAGAGTCAATGGAATTCAAGATGAGCTAGACTTAGATCTCTTCTGGGTGCGAAGGGACTCAAGACTGGTGATGTGCTTGACCCTTCGGGCTCAGTCTGGTCATCTCCTACAAAAAGTCTATTACAGGTTAAAGCAGGCAAATGATATCAAAACCTTGCACTATTCATACAAGGGACTCATCAGAGCTATCATTGAAATAATTTGTAAAAAGGTGTTGTAGAATGTATGGAAGTGCAAAATTAATTTCTGTCCATATCTCTTTAAAGCAGCTACATCTTCTCTTTTGATCACTCAGCTGCTTTCATGAGCTGCCAACCAGATTTATTTTTCCATGTCCATACACTACAAAGCACTCTTGGAACTATAATCCAAAGCATTGCAATCCTAAAATCTAGCATGCTTCTATTTGCTTTCCAGGTTCCAAGTGGCAAGAGTCTGTACATCAAATATCTGTAACTTGAAGTTTCCTATTACGTCCTCAATTGTTGATAGTTAATGTTTGACAGATATTTAGGAACATCTGAGCTAAACTGACACCACTTGATATCCTAATTTATAAAACAATTGTTGCAGGGATGGGATTCAACTTGGTTTATCACCGATTTGGTGGGTGTGGCTTGGTGGGCGTGATTTGCATGCCCGCAGAGGGGTTCCTACCGACCTCCTGCACTCTCCCTGTCTTTCAATAGCTGATGCGTGGCAATCTGCTGTGCCATGTGATGCAGCTGAGTGTCAAGAGCAGGAAATAAAAGTCAGTATGGAGCCCAGGCGGATGAGCCCAGCTGCTGATCGTTGCAGTGAACCGGTTCGCTCCCGGTGGTCTTCAGAGCTACCGGTTCAACCGAACTGGGCTGAACCGGTAGAATCCCACCCCTGCATTGTTACTCAAATAATTTTGGGAATTTATCTTTTCCTAAGAGGGAGGTAGCATCATATTCACAATATATGTGCAGTATCTTTGTTAAACAACTTTTGCTACTTTGTTTTCCTGCCTATCTAAGTGCTATAGCATGGAATTTCTGATTCTAGCACATTCATCTAGTGGATGTGTCAGCTCTGCATTCCACTGATACAGTACTATATATCTAAAGTTAAACAAAGATTGAAGGTGGCTTTTCACCATGCTGACTATGAATATCTCATTCCCAGAATATTTTTGTTTCTTTGGCCTAGGACCAAATTTTCTTGGAGATTTTCCATATCCAATTGACTCTGCTAATCTCTGTGAGTGGGTGATACTTCTGTCACTTCAGAATCAGTATCAGATCAACAAAGTCAGGGTGCCCATTTAAATATTTGCATTCGTTTGCTTCTCATTCATTGGTGGGCGTGAAAAACCAAATCCCTTCTTATTTTATGTACAGGGCTCAGAGCTAACAGATTTAGGTCTCTCCTGATTGGATGCAAGGGCTAATCTGAACTGACTTGTATTCTCCTAGTAAGCAAACACTTAAATAATGAGTCAATGGTGTTCTGCAGTTGCCAAAAAGCCAATGCAGTCCTAGACTGTATTAGCAGAGGGATAGAATCAAGATCACGTGAAGTGTTAGTTTTGCTCTATAACAGGGATATCAAAGTCAAGGCCCAGGAGCCGGATCTGGCCCATGGAGTGCTTAGATCTGGCCCATGGGGCCACCCTAGACACAGCAAAGGACTGTCCCACATGCCTCTGCCAGCGAAAACAGAACCCAGGAGGGCCATCTGCAGCCCTCCCAGGCTGCGTTTTTGGCTACAACGGCCTCCCGCCGCCCTCTGCCAGTGAAAACAGAGCTCGGGGAGGGCATTTTTGCTGGCAAAGGGTGGCAGGAGGCCATCGCAGCTGAAAATGGAGCTCTGGACCCGTTTTCGCTGGCAGAGCTCTTGGGCCACCACAGATGCCCCTCAAATGAGTTACATCAAGCTTACCCTGGTGACACCCACCCCAATCCCTGAGGTCAAACACAACTCTTATGCAGCCCTCAATGAAATCGAGTTTGACAGCCCTGCTCTATAAGGTCTCGGTAAGACCACACTTGGAATATTGCATCCAGTTTTGGTCATATTATAAAAAATATGTTGAGACTCTGGAAAGAGTGCGAAGAAGACCTACAAGGATGCTTATGGGGCTGAAGGCTAAAACATATGAAGAATGGCTGCAAGAATTGGGTAATCAACCAACTTAGAACTAAGAAGAAATTTCCTGACAGTGAGAAATACAATTAACTGGTGGAAAGATTTGCCTTCACAAGTTATGAGTGCTCCATCACGGGAGGCTTTTAAGAAGAGGGTGGACAGCCATTTGTCTGGAATAGTATAGGACTAGAAGACCTCTCAGGTCCCTTCCAACTCTGTTATTCTGTTATTCTTGCTTGTACCTGTGTTAATGGTTTCTCTGCGAGAGCAAATATATATATACATTTTGAGGTCCTTTTTTTTGCGATACTCTAATTTAATGGATTTTAGAACAAATCCACTAAATCAGCATGCCGAACTTCCTTTTCTATGATCCCAATCTAAATATTTGTCTATGGAGATTCTCAGTCCTCCAGGTCATAGTCCCAAAAGTGCTTTTTCAAGAGGCAGCTGGACTTCCTTGGTTTTTCCTTGAAGATGTATTGCTTCTCATCCGAGAAGCTTCTTCAGGTCTTCTTGGGTGAGAAGCAAAACATCTTCAAACAAAGAAAGTCCAGTTGCCTCTTGAAAAAGCACCTTGGGATATTTGGCCACACAGGGGCAGCCTTACTCTGCTACAATTTCTCATCTCCCCAGTTCCTAAAGCCATTTTTATCCCCAACAGCGGAAGTAACAGAACCTGGCAAAAATACATGCAAGACTCAATACATGTTTATCAAATCATATGATTTTAATCAGCGGACTAGCTGCTCCCAATTCCCCTTTTAACAAAGATTGCTCTGTGTATTTCAAGTATCTTGTTTTTACTCGTCTTCAAAGACAGAATGTTTTCAAGTCCTTTTGCATAACAGAATCTGTAATGCAAGAGGAGGTGATTTTCCATTATTTTTATCTGAGCTTTCTATCTTCTTTCTCACTTGCCACACTTCCTGGGATGGCTGTTTTCTTCCTACCATGCAAATTTATCCTTTTTGCTATACTCAGGCTCAGTAAGTCCTTTGCCATATATAGATCAACATCATATCAGCATCTTTAAGAAACCATAACATAACAGAGTTGGAAAGGAGCTTGGAGGTCGTCTAGCCCAACTTTCTGCTCAAACAAGAAACCCTATACCATTCTGGACAAATAGCTGTCTAATCTCTTCTTAAAAGCCTCTAGTGAAGGAGCATCCAGAACTGCTGAATGCAAGAAGTTCCACTGGTTAATTGTTCTCACTGTCAAGGAATTTCTCCATATTTCTAGGTTGGATCTCTCCTTGATTAGTTTCCATCCATTGTTTCTTGTTTTGCCTTCTGCTGTTCCAAATATTGGAAGACTGCTATTATGTCCTCTTCATTACATTAGACATACCCAATTCCTACAACCATTCATCCTCCAGTCCTCCAGTTCTCTAATCATTTTTATTGGTTTTCTTTGTACTTTTTCAAGAATCTCAATATCTTTTTATATGGGGGTGACCAAAACTGGATGCAGTATTCCAAGTATGGACTTAAGCTTTAAGTCTCTTTCCAAAATTGTAACTGCCATGTGAATTATAGAGTAAAATGACATTCACATCTATAGACGGGATGTGTTTCCTCGTTATAAGTGAAGGTCACCCTTGCCTATTGAAGAGTAAATGCAGAGATCCCCCAAATGAAACCCACACTCTGTTACTTTCCTGAGAAGCTGAAAAAGTCCTAAGAGGAGAAGATTCTACGTAATGAACTACTTCTTGTCCTATTTTCCATATTAATTCCTTTGTCTTTAAGCACTAGAGTGACAGAGAATGCACAATACCCTGAATGTCAAATCATCTTTGATGCTTTGATTATTAGTATCAGAGTTGGCAAAGAGCCCCTGCTTTTTTCCTGAAATATATGTTACGCTGCAGACATCAGCTCAGCACAGAAGGATAAAATCCCTGAAAATAAGAAAGGAACGGTAGGATTTATGTTTGAGCTGATTACGGTGGTCCCCAGGTCAGGATACTTAGACCTGAGAAGCCTCTAAGCAGAGCCTGGAATCTTGACAGTCTTTTGACCCAACTGAAAACCATTTTTTCAAAATGTTTCTCCAAACTAAAGATCAGCAAAACACTTGAATAGAATGAAGGCTAATCCTTAACAATATACCAATCAGCCCTAATCTGATTTCAATTATTGATTAGGTTCAGAACATTGATCTGGTTTAATTGGGTTTCTAGCCTGAACTGCCAGATAAGGTTGATGAAATTCAAATTGCCAAAGAGATGGCAACTTAGAGAAAGATACTCTTAGATCGTCTTTCATTACTTAACATTACATCATGGACTGATCCATAGTTTTATTAGCAATGTGGTTTATCTCTGTCTTTTTATGAAATGGTTTTTCAGCTTCCCAACCCAACATTAAAGCCTTGCTTGTTTG